CATAATTTTTACTACTATCCCCAGTATCGAACTGAATCGAATCGTATCGTATCGCATCGTATCGTGGGAATGTCTGAGGTATCAAAGAATATCGAACCGTTGGCTTAAGGAATGGGTACTGTATCGTATCGCGAGGAAAACTGTGATTTACACCCCTAGTAATTAATTTGTAATGAATAAATCTCGTTATACTTGTGTGCGCTCGTAATAGCAGTCTCATTATTTAGTAGCCACACCTAGTATAAGTGGTTAGCTAATCTGACTAAGGTGTTACTTCATTCAACGTTTACATTTAAGGACACATGCATTTGCAGAAACACTACATCACACCATTTAATGAAGTAACTCTACATAATCTACCCACCATCAGCCAAACTTTTGACAGTAAGTGAATATTAATGAGTTTTCCACAAATGCAAGGCATTCACTGGCCAATTAGGTAGTGCATACGCTTAATGATTATTAATGAGTTTCCTGGCTCACCCTGTAAAACGCAAATTCTGGCCAGCTCACTGCCCCCTTTATTCCCAGAGATGTTGAGCTTCCCTGGAAATGATGCTTTGAAGCATTTGTCCAATAGACGCATGGCTTTCAAAACAGAAGTACCATTGAAGTTCAGTGAAGCTGCACTTCAATGGGTTATATTGGATCGTGCTGCCATGGGAATGTAATGTATGAGGAAAAAAATCACATTAGACGACCTGTGAGAAATTATTGCTGATTCTGAATGAACTAGCAGTGAAGTCGAACATGTTTTAGCATGCTCTTTTAAATAGCAATGTAAAATAAAACAGTACATATTTGATTAAAATTTTTATGAGATTTTGGAGAAAGTGAAGCTTCTCTTGTAGTATTAGAGCAGTTGCCACTGGTAGATATAATCTTTGTCTGATTTTCTTAAGCTTTTAAGTACCAGTACTGATAATCATTTTGGCAAATTTTCAGTTGATTTAGAAATCCAGGGCTGAAAGACAGTCCCACTCTGACACAAATTTTAATGTGTATTATGGTAAAACTTTTGGTATTGTTTTTGCTGCGTAGCTTGTTACCTATATTTTGGTAGTAATTAGTAAATGATTTATTGCGTTACAGGGTACACAGGTGAGCAGTGTGAAGCTCTAGTAGACCACTGTCTCTCACAACCCTGCCTGAATGGGGCTACCTGCACTAGCAACCTGGCAGGACCCAGCTGCCACTGCCCAGAAGGTAGGAATCAACACCCAGACCATGATCCATCCATCCATTTTATGTAACGGCTCGTGCTATTCAAGATCGTGGGGGTCTGGAGCATAAAAACTCCACACATGGAGCCATGGCAGAGACACAAACCCTGGTCCCAGAGGTATGAGGCAACAGTGCTAACCACAGTGGCACCATGCCTCCCCTCAGATGGTGGTGGTACATCTCTGAAACGTGAAACCTAGAGTAATACTAAGAAAGTATCACATTCACAGAATGCTAGGTTTAAGCTCTGGTGTTTCAGCTAGAATATTGGATTCTGTTTGCATTCTCATATGTTCACATACTAACCAGTAGAAGATGATAAAACACTTAGATCCTATAAACATTTCCTAGCCCCTCTATATAAAAATAGCTGCAATTCACATAATACTGTAAGTCTCACATCCCACAAGAGCCATAGAAGCTGGGTCAGTGTTCAGCAGAATTGCCCTGATTTTGGAACTACCTCCACTTCTGCTCTGTCTATCTGTGTCATGCCAGAGTTTAATTTGAATCTCCATTCTCTGTTCTAATTCATCTTGCTAGGCCAAACAACTTACAATCTCTGTTCCAATCCAAATGAGGGCATACTTAATATTTACCCTCAAATACAGTGTTACACGCAAAGTGAGCAAACAAGTGGGTCTCATTCAAGATAGAAGATTCTTTATTTGTCACATACACAGTTATACAAGTACAACATGTAGTAAAATGTACCCGGATTTGGTAATGAGGCTGTGCAATAAGGTTTTGTAAATTAAAGACAAATATAAAAAGGATAAGACTCACTCTGTATTTTAAGATTTGAATGCATTTTGACTAAGCATGTGCGAGCGTGTGCGCGAGTGCGTGCGTGCACGCGCGCCTGGGTTGTAGTGGTGCCATGTGAAGTGTGGCGAATGAGGCGAAGACTGCACCTTTGGCATCAATAATGGTGAAAATGAGTATCTAATCAGATACTAATTTTTAATATTGATTAGTATTTGAGAATCGATACTATATAGCATCAGCTATATCTTCCGTTTCTGATCTTTCTTAGTACATTTTTAGCGGTGCAGCAGTGAAAAAGGTCCCCCCTTAAACTGTTTCCAGTTGTGCCACTTTCCGAACGTTGTCTAGGCTATTTAAACTGGTATTGCGGTATAAGAAAAATTCATCATAACAATAATAAAAAAACGTTTCTTGGTATGAACCGGTATACCGCCCAGCACTAGAATGAACCCACAATGCAGCTGAATGTGACCACAAGAGTGGTGTCGTCATGTAAGATGACTCATCTCCTACAGACAACTCACATTTAGTGATAGGTTTGTACCGTTTAACTTCTGACTTTTGTTGGAGCACGCCGTCTCCACCGGGTCCGTGGATGAGAAGAGATTCACAGCTGACACGGGGAGAAGTTGCAAATCACCGGTTTATTGTCTGACAGATTGCAATCCGGGAGCGGCCGTCTGACATACATTCAGCATGTACAGGAGGAGGCTCTGCCATATGTATCAGCTGTATCCCTTTTAAAGCCCTTTGGGCATCTCCCCCCCCCTTTCTCAGTACCTTCCCTCTACTTGACAACCACATGTGTGACTCCAGCCGGCTCGTAGTCGTCCTTCTGGAAGGCTAAAAGATAAGTAGGGGCCGCTGATATTCTCTGTT